TATTTTTATCATAAGAACTTTTCATTTTGTATATATACCCATAGGAATTTATTACGAAATGTTGATCAAAAAAAAAACAAAGATGTCAACCTTGTCACATCAATGAACAGAGATTATTCAATGAACTAAATAATACTAATTTATTATGTATTATTATTGGTTAAATCTAATAAAATATAGAATATATTAAAGAATATAAATATATACATAGTTAACAAACTTGTGATAAAATATATTAATAATTTCATTTTCTTGTCGTATGAATACAATAGTAAAAAATTTGAGAATAAAATTTTTTTTTTTAGTTGTTAGAACAATAATTTCAATTGAATAAAAGAAATTATATTTTCTTCTCAAGGGAAATCTAAATGTGTGACATTTTATTTTATTATTAATGTTTTCATTTTATATATTAATAATAAGATAGATCATAGTCTTGTTTTAGTTAATGCTTTTATATACACATTTTTGAACTACTCTATAGTCAAAAGTTAAAAAAAAAGCTTTTTTAAAAATTTGTATAAATAAAAAACAAAATTATGCCTTCTTTACCTTTACGAATGTTGAAATCAAAATTTTTTAGTATAACTTTGAAGTCTCTTCCTTGTCAAATGCCCTACAGTTATCCGTTGTATGTAAAATTTTCCTAATGATAATGATTATTTCTTATTTCAAAGGTGCTGAAAAGATGGGTCATGGACCTTTATCACTGTCAATTTTCGAGTGTTTTCGTCATAGAAAAAAAAAGTCTTGATACAAACAGGAGAATTTATTTTTTTTCTTTTTCTCAAAATCAATTTTCACACGAAAAAAAATGTGCCAAATCCCTCTGATTTCTTCGACATAGTATGTTGGATCGAGCTAGGATGATTTTGATCTTTTTATTCGAAGAGAAGAAAATAAAAAAAAGACGCTTCAAACAGTGTTTAATATCTGTAAAAAGAAATCTTACTTTTATCGAATTTACCTCTTCAGAAATTCCAGAAAGAGGGACCTTAAAGGATTTAGATTTGATTTTACTGAAGACAGAGACATTTCTTCCATAGATATTTTAGAGATTTCGATTTATGTTGATAGATTGTACAAATCAATAAATAAAGTACTGATTCATTATGATTTACTTTTTATTTTATAATAGAATTTTCAATTGTATATATAGTAAAGATTTGATAATTATTTTTGCAACCATAGATGATATATCAGTTGCTAAGATTAGAAATATTTCAGGTCTGGTATAGTAATCTCATCTCGTCAAGACACTTACAAGAAAAAAAATTAAAAGGAAAAAAAAAAGAATTAGCATGGAGTGAGAGGGTACGAGTGTCGGAATAATTCAAACAACACTCATTACTGTAGGTTCATCAGTTTTGACAAGAGTACTTGAAAATACATCTCGACAAATTATTCTTGGTGTCAAATGTGATAATTAAAAATTTAGAAATAAAAATTGCATAGCTGAATATGTCATGAATCGTAAAAATGTGTTCTGCAAGCGTTGTCGTTACAAATTCCATATAAATAATTTAACAGATCTTTTCACATTGATTCTAATCGATTTGATAAACATTTTTCTGCTAATAAAAAAAAAACAATCAAGTTTTCCAAATTCATAAATATCATTAGTATTATTTGAAAATATTTGTTCTTTTTAGTCATTTGATACAGATTTACAATAGTTTAAAACAGTTATTTATTAGTTAAAACCACATTAGCAGTTCACAACGTTTGTTTTAAATAAAATACAATGCTGCATTGCAATTGAAATTTCGCCCTTTGTATTTCTTACTTAAGAGTTTTATAGTTTGCCTAGTTTTCGATCATGGGTATATAGTGGAAAAATACAGACTTGACTATAGCATATAATATAATAATAGTAATAATAAACAAACAAATAGAAATCAAAGAAGAAAATTTACATCAGACGAAAAGATGCCATTTTGTTAGTTTCATAGATAATAGAATATTTGTGATATGCAGCGATGATTTTCTCTCTTGTTAATAAATAAAATGTTTGTGAAATTCATGATGGAAAACTCATTGTTATGGTTGGATAATGGCTTTAAACAACTTTCCTAAATATATGCCAAATTCGCTTATTAATATTTCATTAGATGCAGTGAAGTCTGTACTTCCTTACTTTATATGTACATTATTAAGAAAGAAAAACTCTCATAGTCGATAGTAAGAAATACACACTGTAAATATTAAAGCATTTCGTGTAGATCAATAGGACTTTTGAGATTCACTTTCAAAGGAAAGAAGAGATATGAGGTATTGAGGGTCGATATAAGAGCGTTTATAGGATCAGCACTGATTAAAAAGTAAAGTTCCAGAGGATTTCGAAGGATTCATGCAAAAGTTTTGTTAGTCTAGAAAGAAGCAAATTGAAGAGTCCAAGTTTGAAGACTATCAAAACATTTGAAATCAATATTTCACAATACCCCAAAAAGACTTCTGCGAAAGGTTGTCAATCATAAAACATCATCATCCGTATGGGAAATGGATATTCTACGGCTTTGAAAACATCATTCATGTCTAAAGCAGTGTTCCTCTGTACTTCACTCTCTTGATTACAGCAAAAAAAATGATTTAGTAAGCAATAGACGACAACATATTGCTGAATGATGGTATTCCAATTGGTATGATTTGTCGAACAAAAATTTGTCGATACTCTATCTAGCCTCAACTTGTAATTTCATCCATTGAAGTAATTAGAAAATGTTTGAAAACTTATTAGTCGAACGGCGTAGTGTTTTGGTGCACATCGACGACTTATTTGTATATACGTTTTCTTTCTGTAAGATAAATAAGAAATTGAGGCATTTTTTTCGAGCATTATCATTATTGATAAAGTGGCTTGACTGAAAAAAAACAACTCTGATAACACGTGCAGGCGGTGTGAGTCATGAAAAGCAAAACCGTATTTCATCTCAGACTTTCATGCTAGACTTGAATAAATTCACTGTCTGTATTAAAAAAAACTCACGTTCAACCATATAGGACATGAGACAACATCACAACGTCGATAAATATGAATCGGTGCACCTTCAGTACAACATTCGTTTTGTTGTATCAACAAACATTCTGTGCGATTGCTTTTGATTACACAAACAAAAAACTATGATGTATTTCATTCCTTGCTGATCTTATAAACCATCTATTGCTTGCTGTCTGTATTATAGTCACTAAACCGATGTCAATTTCATTTATTCCGAATGAATACCTCACGTGCAAAGCAAAAGATTTCGGTAGCTTCAAATGGAGGACTGTTGATAAATGAACGCGAAAATAGGTCTCCTGTTTATCTATCCGCCTGCAATCGAGGATAGATAAGTATTTGAGTGTAGTATGAGTGAACTAAATAAGGTTGTGTGTATAAAGGTGAAGAGAAGACCCTGACTCACCCATATCCTCAAAATAAGAAACTTATCAACTTTTTCAAGAATGAGGTTAGCAAGTGAGAATGAATTACTACTCGTTAAATTAATCAACGTTTTTCTAATCGCATCTAGTTGACTAAACATTTGCTTCGACTATTAAAGATGAATGCTCAACTATCGCTAGTTAGACTTAGATGTTGCTAAGTAGACCTTAGGTTGTATTGAACAGTTCTTCTTTTTTCCTCTAACACAAAGCAGAGAAGTTAACCTTCGAAAAATCTTGTAATCAGTTAATATGCATGAAAGAATTTTATTACTGTATTGTAAATAATGTAAATGAAAAAGTGGATCACTACGACAAGAATAAATTATGCTCTCAACTTTGGTAAGACACGAGCTAGACGTTCTTCATACATATTCATTCGAGAATGTCCTACTGGGAAACTCGAGCCATATTGTAATGTGATATACTCAGTGATTGATGCCACGGTAGCATTGCTCGCTTGAGGTGTGGGTGTGTGTGCGAGTATGGATGTGGGTGCAGGTGTGGATGTGGGTGTGCGGGTGTGGGTGCAGGTGTGGGTGTGGGTGTGAGGTGTGGTTGTGGTGTGAGTGTGAGTGCGTGTGCATGGGCGTATGAAAACAAAACGAACATCCACATCCACACCCTTTTGAGACGGTCGATTTCGTTTCTTGATTATTGATCTTTCAACTTTATTTTCAATTATTGAACTAATTCTGAACTAATAATAAAAATGTTTTATTTGTTATCAGTATCTGAATCGATTTCATTATCCTTGTTGAATGTCTATGAAGGATTTCTATGAAGGATTTCTATTTCGACATAAAGAAAATAATTAATGTTCTTGATAATTATCGTTGCGAGAAGAACTACTTCATGTAAGGCTTGGCTGCGAGTGTGGGTGTGGCTGTGCCTGTCTGTGATATTGTGTAGGTGTGGAGGCTGGTGTCGATCTGTGGGTAGATGTGAGCCGTCTTTTTATTCACATATAACACCCACATACCCAAGCCCACATCAACACCAACATCCTCACATCTATAGTCATACCCAGTTATCAGTCACACTTCAATTTCTTATAAAATTCAAATTCATGGAATGAAAATAATGTAAAATTCAAGGATTTATCGAATGATTTCATATTTTCGAAATAATCAAGTCATGAATTTTCGTGATGGAAATTCTGAAAATAGCCACTTCAATGAATTATTTCATGATCGGTATACCTACCATTTACAATACTGAATTTATGTTCGATAATGTTAGGTTTTGTGTTTATGATTTCAGATTTAGATTTTAGAGTATTGATGTTTATTATGTTAATAAAGAAACTGAGTTCTGTTAATTGATTTTAGCAGCTTTGGTTGTTTTTGAATGAATATATTACCGGAAACTACGCAAAGTATCTAGGTACTTGGTGTACAGCTGTATGTATTTAATGCTGTTGTATCTATTGTTTGGTTGTATCTGACGTATGATTGATCATTGTGCTAACTTCGCATCGATCAAGAGGAGTTTTTATTGGTGTCTATTTGATGTTGTGGTATGATTAATAAAAAATACTTGTTTTCGTTTTTGTGGAAATTGAAAATAGGATATACTTACGAATCTTTTTTAATCAGTGGTCGTGGTGGTGGTGGTGGTGGAGGTTGACGTGTTGATGGTGAACTTAGTGGAGCTTTTACAGTCTGATTTTTAATACTAGATGCACGCTTATCTGGCCGTGGTGAAACGGTAGGAACTCCTTCGCGATTTTCCGTTTCCAAAACATGTAATTCATTTTCTTCTGGTATATGCGGAGAAATCATTGTTTTCAAATCCTGTTCTTTTGCTGAAGCATTGTTAAAAAACATCTATAAAAAACAACACATACTAGTTATAACGGTAGGAGAAAAAGCAATTTCACATACATCTTTATCACCGATATGAGTTACATGAACCATTCTACAAAGAAAAATTTATGAACTATCTTACAGAAAATTTTATTTGACATACGAGGATTCAATTGGTGCTGATATTTCTGGTCGTAGATGTTTCTTTTTATTTCTAACAATATTTAGAAAACCTGAATTTCTTCTTGCACTTGTTTCTATAACAAATAGCAGCATGCTCATTTGAAAATAGTTAATTAGAAAAATTTCTATTGTTGACGTAAGTCTGAGAGGTTGATATCACTGTTCCTGTGGATGTGAATGTGTAACAACAAAAATATATCGTTCCTGAAGGACACCACAATATAACGCATCGATTCAAGTGTGCTGATTTCTAATTATAGATGATTCTATCCTAGTCTCTTGTTCTGCACAGTCCAAAATGTTAGTCTAAATCATAACATTCTTTGTGTTTATATAAGTCTGGGAGCAGCCAATTGTTCTTTGATCTTGGTGGTAATGCAGAACAAGTACCCAAAAACAAGATGGTTTCTTGCAAAAACAATATCAAATCTCTATTTGTGAACGGCTTATCAAATTTTAAGTTTCCCTGAGTTCTAATTATGTTTCAAAGGTATGTTCAAGGATTATCTAGTCTACGATGAGAAAATTCAAGGCATAAATAAATGCAGGATGAAAAGTTGTCTGTGTCATCGCTTTTCGATTATAATGGAAAAAAAGATATCGTTATTGTTGCTAATCACATTAAAATTGTTTCGTTCGATCTGTTTTCAAGTATATTTCTTCATTATCTTTACATAATCTTCTAGCTCTACAATAAAGAACTACAATAGTTCATATATTCTAATGAGACGTTAAGAATATACAGTGTGTGTTACTCAAGGAACACCATCGATCATGGTCTATGTGAGAGAGGAGATGAAAACCTCCACCGAACATACTTCAGCACATCATATTAAACCATATTCTATACAATCTGATTTTCATGAACGAAATACACTTCCTATGGACAAATAAGGTTTTAAAACTTTTCCAAAAAATCGTGTAATTTTAAATGAGTCAACTTTGGAGAAGTCAAATGAACTAACTTTTGCTCATATAAGTTATACCATTACTAATCAATGCCTATTTCAAGGTGATAATCAACGGTATCCTACCTTTAGATGTTGGAGCATTAGTTTCAAAGGTGGCTACCTACAAGCACAAGACATTCGACAGATATTCGTAGTATAGAACTAGTATCGCCTGACCTTATCACGGATGAAACTAATTCCAGTGTTTATGGTACGGGAGACGGCAGCTACAGCTGCATCAGTCTATAAACATAAAGAGATAAGTGTAGGCAGAAAAAAAGAACATTAAGAAATTGTTTGTATCACTTGAATTTTGCTCGAATGTGTCTCGTCTTTTGTTTTGGTTATGCCGGTAGCAGTCATTGTCAAAGCATCTACGATAAGAGACAATCGTTTATTTTTTACTACTTTTCTATGTCATCTTACATAAAATTTAACATCTTATCACTATTTCATTGAGCAGAATTTTTTTGCCTTTATGAAGTTTAAATCCAAATCAAATTACATTTTTTCTATTCAGTTTTCAATGGTAACATACAATTGGATACTTCTAGTTTGTTCAAGGAACAAAAGTAAGAAAAGTTCGAAATGCTTTATGAAGTAGCGTTTTCTGGTCATATATTGGAGGGTGTGAGTTCACTATAAATCAAAGGCATACAAACATTCATACGTGAACGCCACACACTCACGCTCATACGAGTACTCTGACATTCCAGAATATCAATTGATGTAAGAATGATCATTTCAAAGATGTTACTTAATAAACCACTCCCATGCATCTTTGGATGATAACATATTCGAAAATCTTACAGAACTCTGTGTGTTGATGGTCAAAGAAGTAACAATCTCTAGAAAGTATGAGAGAGAATGTGATGTGGTATCTTTTCTCTCGATTATCAGCTAATGTCATCATTCATATAAACAAAGAAAACTAGAAAATATAGAAAAATTTCCTACACGTTGCATTCACGATGATCGAAGTCAGATTTGAATAATTCTATTCAAAAAAGCAATCACTGTAGTTTAATATAAATCGGATATTGAATGAATCAAATAGGTTGTTTGTTAGTCGACATTAATGTAATCTTATTGAGATTTTAATAATTTTTAAACAAATCAATTTTCACATAATTCCATCTATGAGACCAAATACGTCATTTGACTTCTTCAAAGATGATGTTTCATGGAAGTGTAGTATTTGTTAACATGAAATGCTAATAATTGAGAATTTTCTATTTAGGATATCATGCGAAGCTATAAGTTTTCAAATGCATGGAAAAGCTCAAAAATCAAAATATATCAGTGAATATATATTATTTAGGATAATTCTTTTATCAATTTATAATTAAAATGAACTTTTATTAAAATATACATTGACTAGTACACATTTCACTTATGAAGTAAAAGAAAATATGACAAAACAGGAATCAAACGAGTTTGCGATTGATTTCAACTAACAAAGGAAAAGCTATGTACAGTTTTACATGTTATATGTAAGTTTAGTTCATCTTAATTGAGACATTCATGAGATGATAAGTTCAATTGATTTAGACACGTTAATCTCTAATCATAGATGTGTGTATTCTAGTCTCATCGCCAGTCGGAGAGAACAAGATAGTTTTTCTCCGAAAAAGTCAAAAGCACGCTTTAAAATAGAGTGAACATTCTGCTAGTTGTCAACCACTAACAACGATGTGAAGATGCACTTAAAGTATCATTCGGTTACTGATGAACGAATTCAACTCATAGAGCTACATCCTTTAGTCAAGATAATGTGAAAGGACAATACTTCCATAAAAGAGATAGAATCTTTTCATTCTTTTTACACAAACAATGTATATGTGCTTCCTCTGAAACGTCATGATAGAAATACAATAGAACGTTTCTACTCAAAGACCGAGTAATTCTATACGCAGCAACTATAAAGAAGCAAATAAAATTCGTCGAGAAATGGCCACATCATAATCTATGAATGTGCGCTCAGTTTCATGTCCAAGGTGATAATCAATAGTATCCTACCTTTAGTTGCTGGAGCATTAATTTCCATTGCAGATATCTATAAATATAAGACATTCGATGGATATTCATTGCCTAGACTGATTATCACATGACCTTTTTGAAACTGAGGGTAGCTCCAGTGTTTACGATACTGGAGACGGTTGCTGTAGCTGTATCGATCTATAAATAGTAGTAGATAAATGTGAACACTTAAAAATTATTTGAATTACTTGGGCTTCGTTGGGGTCCTTCGATGTTTTTGCATTTGTGACGTCTACAGAAGTTGTTATCGAAGCACCTGTGATACAAAACAAATATTTATGTTTTTAAGGCTTTTTTTGGTGCCATTAGAGAGTGTAGATGTAGATACGTGAATATCGATCTTCTATTCTGCTAGCTTCACATTGATCCCATCTGACCTTAAATTGGTTCTCGTCGAAAAAGAATTCATCTAATCACTAAGTGCATTCAAGAATACACAGTATCACAGAATAAGTGAGTCAACAACACATATGGACAGAATAGGCCGCATGTGTCATTCGTTCTAAACTTAGTTTTGGCTTGTATTAGTGAGAGCTTTCTTTCAGAGAAGATTTCACGAAGATTAGGATGTTATTATGTGTATTCAGGAATATATTATATCGCTTCTGGTAAATTCTTCACTCACATTTTTAATACATTTGATGAGAGACAAAAGTGTTTCATAAGAATTCATAAATCGCTGAGATCAATCTTATACATATGTGAGTACTAATGAACGAGTTACCTTGTTTCTGCACGATTCGTACACGCTTAAGATTATCGTCTACAGCTGTTTGTAATTCACCAATTCCGTCGACATTGTATTGGATTCTAACAGGTGGTTTCAGTTTTTTCAAGTCTAGCGCAATTTTGTTGATTTTGTCAGTCAATGTTTTCTTCGTTTTTAATAACATTGCATAATCATTGGTGGAAAGAATATCTGTGAATTCTTTTCTATATTGATCAAGCATCTGTTTTTTGCAGCTCAATGCATCTTGATACACTTCAAACAGTTTCGTATTCTTGCTTTCGATCTCGTCAATACTTTGTTTTAGTGTTCTTTCACTCTCATTGATTGTTGTACGTATAAATGCAAATACCTCAGTGATTTTGTCTTTATTAATGCTTCCACTCGACCTGATGATTTGTTCCAGATTTTCTAAAGCTTTCTCCAAAGGTAATTGTGCGCTTTCTAATCTTTCTTTTAACTAAATTGTATGAAAAGTTACTTTTATGAAAGAAATGTACGTGCTATTGGATACTGACCTCATTCTCGATCTCTTTTGCAACTTGAATAATGCCTATAATCTTATGACTATGGTGTGTAGATAATTGACAATCCGGGCAAACCAGTTCCTCACAGCTGCAACACCAATACTTTAGCTTTTCATCTGGATGTATTGAGCATCGTACAGGTTCTGAAGGTTTTTGCTCAATGGGAATTCTTTGATGATTACTTAAAGCTGGCTGTGTATGAATAAGATTGCTACAATTTATGCAATAACTATTTTCGCACTTCTTGCACCAAAGTTCAGCTTTAGACGAACAATTGTTGGAGCATTGCATAACGGCTACAATTACAAAAAAGATAGTCACAATCACAATATTCATTAGCGTAAATGAGTGTTTTCTGGAAATCAAAAAATGCAAAAAGAAACGATGTATTTTACAAAATTTAATATACCTTATCTATTGTACATATGATAATATAGTAAATAAGCGATAAACGACTAGGTAGGATAAAAAAAGACATCTTGCACATAAGCATTCAAATTAATCGAGAACTACTATCCGAAGACGAAAAATAAGAAGTCTGTATACACTAAGAAAGTATCATAAACACTCGGTATTTCATCATCTTCGACATGAAATGCTTTTAGATGATAAGATAGCTCTAATTAAATTCATGCATAGTTTGTTCGATTCTTCGATGTTGTATGCAGAAGGGTATGATGTGAC